AACGTAGTTGTCTTACAGTTATAACGGCAGTGTGTGTTTGTTTACAAATCGATGACTAAATAAGTGCAGAAAGAAAAAAAAACACACCAAGGTTGTTTACCCAGTTCGGTTTTCCAACCTACGTCTGGGGGATTCCAATCCAGGACTCTTAACTAAACCAAACACTTTGTTTACACCATATAAGACACCAAACCGAACTATCCAACCTATCTTCTACTCAAACTCCATTTAGTTTATACAAACTCTCATGGACTAGCTGTTACTTCGCCGCAACAACTTAAGCAGGCCAGCGACCAAGCTAAGAATAAAGTTGTTTACCGGATGAATATCTTCTTTGGCTTCGACTTCAAGAAATCTTTCTTCTCGTCTTCAATCCTCTATGGATAAGCTCTCTCAACACTTTAACAGGTGGTGAGGAAACTTACTCGATGTGTTGTGTGTCTCCTTACTGAAACAAACACAAACAACACACAAAATACAAATACTGCACACAAGAAATAGTTGACTGTGTGTTAACTTTGGGCAGTGTATCAGGGCAATAAATGTCATGCAGTATAAGAGAACAATACGTACAGCCTCTCCTGCACTTCCTCTGTCCAATACACATACATTTGTTCTATGAGTGTGGGACACGCATGATACATCCAAAATCAGTATATCGGTCAACTCTTTGCAAAAAGAAAAAGGGTTTGACATTTTTAAATTTGCCAACATTTAGTCTTTGGGGGATAGAGAATTAAAAAAGAGGTTTGGTGTGAGTGAGTTTCACAGTGTAGAAAAAAAGGTAAGAAAGGATTTAGTGGAAATAGGAGAGAAACCAATTAGAGAAAGTTTCCGACCAGCCTTCCTACGAGGGTTACTGGGCGAGTTTCGAACCTTTTCCGATGGCTCATTCTGTTGGGTGTCGAGGCTTAGAGTAAGGAACCGAGCTCCACCCTTGCGACATAGGTTATTTTGCACCTTGGCCGAAAATCAAAATCCTTTAGTCTCCGGAGAAAGATTGATGTTCATCGGAGGGAAGTCGGAGAGCTGCTGGCCGGCGCTGTTCGGAATCCTGCTGTTTGTTGGTTCTGTTCAGAGCCTGCTGCTATGACTGTAACACCACAGTCCATTCGTGGATAATTAGGAGGAGGAGAAAAGAATTTGGCGTTTGATTCACACAATCAGAGAAATGGGAAGTCTGCCTTCCTTTAATTCAATTGATTTTTAATTTAATGCCGTGTTTGTTTGGTTTTTATTCGATTTCCAGAATTAGCATGTTATTTTAATGTGATAATATTATTTCCTATTGGTTAACATTGATTTGGTTCAGAAAGTATTAATTGTTCGAATAAAATTCATTAATTTAAAAATAATTATTTTTTATTAAATAATAATAAATTATGTGGGATTTGAATAGAAAGAGTGAATATTTATGTGAAAAAAAAAACTCAAATAAATAAACATACAAAAATATGAAAATACTTTTTAAAATCACTAGGTAAATATAACGGTTTAATTCACACAATAAATCACTATTCTTATCAAGCAAACTAATTTGGATATGTAAGAATGTTTTTGTAAAAATTTTTGTATTAAATTGACAATGTAAATCATATGGAAATGTATTTCCTATAATTCAAAAGAATACAAATTATACTTTGTTGTTACTTATAAATTTTGAAGATAGGCGTTTATTATTTATTTGAAAAATTTGAACTGTCGTTATGATAATTTGATTTGATTTTTTATTTTTTAAATATAATATGTGTGTTTGATTATGATTTGAATTGATTTAAAATCATGTATTAATTTGAATTTTTGTTAAATAATATTTTAATTTGATAATAAAAAGCACACTTACTTAACCCTAATCAAATTCAATTTTAGAAATATGACTAGATCACTCGCGAGCTAAAAGCAAGTACAACGGCTTGAAAATAGCAGCCCTCGCTGAACATCTCGATGGAAAAGATGTCAGGACTCGAAATGCGTATTCTCCAATGGCCGCCTTCTCGACGTGAATGTCTCGATGAATAATCGCATGCAGGTGAGGCCACTTTGGTCTTGATTTCTTCGTTCTCTTCATTTTTTCTCTGTTTTATGTTTTTTTTTTTTTTTTTCCCAATTTTCTTCTTTCTTCTTTCTTCCTTCTTTTTTTAAGATGCGAAAATCACCCTACCCAACGAACTAGCGAATAATCCCTTTCCTGTAAAGTCCCTCTGCGGTTCATTTCCCCAACCTCGCGGACCGACCTCCGTCGAAGGGCCAAACACAGGTAAGAAAATGGAGAGAACCGACCTCCATCGAAGGGCCAAACACAGGTAAGAAAATGGAGAGAACCGACCTCCGTCGAAGGGCCAAACACAGGTAAGAAAATGGAGAGAAATTGCAATGATATACTACAATTTGTAACATTGCATATATAAATCGTCAATCAATTGAAGTATAATAAAAGTTGTAATAGAAAATGGACTTTGTATATCCTATAGAAAATGGACATTGTATATCCTATAATTGTCGCAACATTGCAACTAATTGCCTTATTTGTTTTAAAAATAAAAAGCTACCGTTGTATTGAATTTCAATTCTTTATATCTAAGGGTGGAAATAAGCCAGACCACGCTAGGTCAGATTTTGGCTAAATAAGCTTGACCTATTTCAAAAATATATGGCCTAGTTAGCCTGAATTTTTTTTTTAAAGTTGGAGTCTAGCTTTTTTAAAGTCTGATTTGGCCTATTTAAAAGACTACATAATATTTTTATTTATTTATTTGTAAATTTAGTTAGAAATAAAAAAAAATAATGTAGATACCAATGGGTGTGTTTGTTTGGGAGACTTTCCCAAACTTCCACTATTTATTCAAATTTTTCCTCCCAAAAACATCAAATCAAACACCTATTTTTTTTTTTATATTATACTAAAAATCAATTTTATATTCAAAATATCACATCAAAACTTATTTATATCACATCATACAACTATTCGAATTCAAATATTTTACTATTCAAATCTCAACTCAAAATCCAAACCCTCAAACAAACACACCCGAAACTATTATAAGTTAAAAAAATTCTATTTTTTATAATAAATTTATAATTAATATTATTTAATAAATATTATTATTAGATAGAAAATTATTTTTAATATATAATAATAAAAAATATTTTTACAAAAAATAATAATAATAATAAATAAGTCAGTCTGTTAATTAAAAAAACTATATTTTTTTAAATAAAAAGGCTTATAAATTTTTTTAACTTGACTTTTTTAGTAAATAGATCAAGGCCAGTTGGGCTTATATAGGCCAGACCATAGGCCCTGACAGGTGTTGTGGCATATTCTCATCCTATTTATATCATTATATTTGATTATATCATTTATAACTATCTATACTTATTTATTTTATTTTTTATAGCAAGGATTATTGAAGTTAGACTACTATTATAACATATATTGTACGCTATACATTTATTAAGTAAATATATATATTTATAAAGTAAATATATATGTTTTTTTGTTTTTATTATTGTAGGCATTAAAAATTAAATATCTAAATTAAATTAAATATCATATATTTTGGAAGAAAATAAAATTTTAATAAAATAAATATAAGATATTTAATTATGTACATATGTTAATTTTTCTACAATAAATATCAATAATGAATGCAAAAATCTGCTAAAAATGGAAGATATCGTACAAATATTACGTGCATAAATAGAGCCATAATAAATTTGGCAGCAAAATAAATTAATCTTGTCAATTAAGGAAGTATATAAATTAATATCTTTCGAAAAAGGAAATAATATAAAGATCTTGACAAGATAGGAAAGCGCGCAATCAAATCCTTAAAAAATGGAAAACGACATCCCATGAAAAATGAAGGATTATAAAATCTTCCTATTGGCCAATCAGGACTCGCCACGTGATACCATCCGAAAAAGAAGCCAAGGTCACCCTCCCATATAAATAGGAGCCTTGGTCAATTCATTACACACCGAAGTTCATTTGAAGACTCGCGCAAGGGTAAGTCTCTCTAGACTCTCTGCAATGTTCTTCATTGTTCTTCGTGTCCTTCGAAGCGTTCTTCGTAAAAAAGTCACCGATTTGGACAAATAATCCAATATTGGTTGACGAATCGATGGAGTTAACGTTCTTCGTCGTATGCCCGAGCCGGAGGAAGGATCAAAGCTCCCAAAGCCATTGAAGAATCTATCAAAGCCAAGGAAGAGCCTCCAAAGTCGCTCCCAAAGCTTCAAGATGTTCATCGCGTTCTTCATCAAAAGCGGAAACTCGGCCCTCTTCGATCCAAAAGTCAAAGGGACACGCCGCCAGAAGCGTTATAGAGCACCAAATCTACCCCCTCAAAGATCAAATTCCGTCGGATCATCCAAATGAGATATCAATCCAAAGTCGACGATCAAAATCATCGACATGGATAGCAAAGCCCTCTAAAAGCTGGCAAAGCCTAACCGAAGACCAAAATCCCTTCGGATCAAAGGAGCTATCCAAACCCAAGTTGAAAAATGAATCGACCCGGGAAGAGAATCAAAGGATTCAAATAGAGAATAGGACCCGTATATATTTAAATTAAATGTAATTTGTACGATTTTGTGTTTATAAAAATATCACACAATTTTTTTGTCTACAGATTTTTGGCACGTCTAGTGGGACGACTCTACCTTTCATCTATCTTCCTGTCGAATTCTCAACGATCAGTGGCTTCCTACAAGATAAAGACTTCTAACGTTGTGTTGAAAGCTACTGCTCTAGCCGCCGCCGCCAGAGGAGTCGCTGCTACTACATCAAGAACCTCAAGTGCTTCAACGAATGCTGGAGTGCTGACACGAAGCATGGTTAAAAGAGCACTGTCATTTTCCGAGGATGCACATCCGAAAATCAAAGAGCAAAACCCACTCTATGAGGAGGATGAAAGCTTCAAGAGTACCTCTGCATCGGTCACCCCTCAAGAAACTGCAACTCGTTCGACTGCATCAAGTTATGCGCCAGTGTGACCATGAATGCTTCAAACATAAAAGACCAACTCGTTGCACTGGCCAAAATCATTGTAGGGATGTCTCAACACATGCAGCAACAAGACAATGTCATCGCAAAACTGCTTGCAAAACTAGACAAGTCAGAACACAATGCTCCAAAGGCCCAAGATGAGGCGGAAACATCCACGGATGAACGCTATAATAAAGAAAAAATGGTGGGACCAATGCCGTTTCAAGCATCATCCGACTCCTTCATTCACCTATCCCAGTTTGATGAGTATATCAAAGGAGCTCTCAAAAGGGAGTTTGAAGGAAGTTCAAGGCCAACAAACATTTATGCCAAGTCTTACACTTCAAGGATCGACACCCTCAAGATGCCGTTGGGATATCAACCGCCGAAGTTCCAACAATTTGATGGCAAAGGCAACCCAAAGCAGCATGTGACACACTTCATGGAAACATGCAACAATGTTGGGACATACGGCGATCTCCTGGTGAAGCAGTTCATGCGGTCGTTAAAAGGCAACACCTTCAACTGGTACATCAACCTGAAGGTTGGTTCAATCGACAGTTGGGAGCAATTGGAGTACGAGTTCTTAAACCGGTTCTACAGCACAAAAAGAACCGTCAGTATGATAGAGCCCACCAATACTTGTCAATGGAAAGATGAACCAGCAATCGACTATATCAACCGTTGGAGGAGTCTGAGTTTGAACTGCAAAGACCGGTTGTCCGAGGCCTCTGGTATAGAGATGTGCGTCCAAGAAATGCACTGGAGGTTGAAATACATCCTGCAAGGGATCCGACCCCGCACTTTTGAAGAACTTGCTACCCGCGCTCATGACATGGAGTTAAGTATGGCTTCAAGCGGAATGCCCAGACCACCAGTTCAAGAATCTTCAAAAGTAAAAAGATACGAAAGATATGATGCCACAAAGAAGGAGAACAACACCCCTATCAAGTCTTCCGGCAAAGAAGCGTTGGCCATAAAAGCGATGACCAAAGCACCAATGAAGATCCAAAGTAAAGAAAAAGAAGTTGCAAGGAAAAGATAGTCAACTTAAACAGACAGACCTCCAAGACCAACCCTTAAAGAGTTGCAGACCAAAACTTATCATTTCCTAGATTCTGATGTCTCAGACATCTTTGACGATCTACTCAGAGAAAACCTCATCGAACTTCTGAGTTCAAAAAGACCGGAGGAAGCTGGAAAGGTTGATGACCAAAGATACTGTAAATACCATCGTGTCGTAGAACATCCCATCCATAACTGTTTCATCTTTAAAAACAAAGTCATGGAGTTGGTTCGTGAAGGAAAGATCACCCTTGAAGACGATTCTACTGCTGTTAATGTCACTTCAATCATGTTCGGTGACAGGCGTTTCTCACACGCTGCAAAATTTAAATAAAATAAACCTACTTCCGCAATAAAAATAACATAGTATAGATGAAGTAGGGTCGTCTCCTCAGGGAATTAACAATGTTTTTTTTTTTATTGTTTGATTTACAAATATAATAAAAGGGGGGATTTTGGAAGTAGAAAATAAAAATAAAATAACAAACTAAAAACTCTACGACTAAAAGATAAATTCAATAAAAACAAGTTTCCAGTCTAGGGATAAAATTGACAACTTAGGTAATGGATTTGATCATTGATAATTATTTAATTTTATTGGTTTCAAAATAAATTAGTTATAGTTACCGACACGCGCCTAATAACCAACTCTTCCTTAATTTCTTGACAGTCTAGGTACGCCCGTCAATGGTTTCCTTAGTTAGACTAGAACCCTAGTGATGCCACAAAGAATTTACTATCCTAACCGTCTTGCGAACTAGAAGAGCCTAATTCAATTTAACAATTAACTATACGAAATTTTTTAAAATTGATTATGTGATTTCCTAATGGTGTCTGCCACTAGTTGCTACTTGAATCAAATTAAAACGCAATTACGGACGCCTAATTTAGTTTAGTAATTAATCCTCAATCCAATTGAAATACCTGGCCACAATACCCAACCAAATAAAAGATTATAACTCAAAGAATCAGAAACTACAGAAATACTTAGGAACCAAAGAAATATCATAAATCAAAACAAATCTAATCTCCCAAATCCAGTTTTTTTCCACTCCTAGACTAGAAAAATAAACTACTCGCTAATCATAGGAGAAAGAACAAAGGAAAATGAACAAAGAGAAACATCGCCTGAGAATTATGTTGGTAGGGGTAGAACTTGAAATCTTCTTGGTAGAATCTTTCTTCTTCTTGCCCTTGCACGGTTTCTCTCTAGGACTCTTCTGCACGGTGCTCTCCTCAGAAAATGGCATAAAGTGGCGCCTCTCCCTTATTTCTTTCCTTTATATTTGCCCTAATTTTGTAACAATTGGGCCTTGGACCTTTTTGTTCTCTTTTTCCACTAATTATATTAATTTTATTATTTTTCTCATGTAAATTATAAATAAATAATATATGACCAAATCAGGTAGAATCTAATCAAAATCAATCAAATATTGCAAATAATATAAATATTTAATGCATGCGATTTATGGCTATCATTCGGGTCTCTCGAAGTTGACATAAAAGATGAGGAATCATATTGCCTCACTACCGAGAAAGGTGACAAGGCGATCAAAGATGAATCGAGTGAAGAATGTGCCGCGATAACTTTCACTGATGAAGATTTGATGTTAGGATCCAAACCCCATAATCGGCTATTACTGGTCGTGGGTTATATCCATGAGCAAAGAATTAGCCGGATATTCTTAGACGGAGGAGCCGCAGTCAACGTCCTTCCTCTATACACATTGCAACAATTGGGAATACTAGTAGATCAATTGTTCGAGAGTCGTATGATAATATACGGATACAATCAAAATGGGCGAAGAGCACTTGGCACCATAAGATTGAGACTGCTAATCGATGAAATAGAAACTAACTCTTTGTTCTACGTCATAGATGCAAAAACATCTTTCAACGTTCTTTTGGGAAGACCATGGATACATAAGAATGGTGTAGTTCCATCAACGTGGCACCAATGATTTAAATACACTCAAAATGGAGTGACAAAGAAAGTTCTCGACGATACAAAGCCATATACAGAAGTCGAGTCACACTTTGCGGATGCCAAATATTTCTCTACAGAAGCAAAAGAATCCAAGGTACATGAAGATGTCAAAGCACCACAACCAAACTTGGGGGCAAAGTCAAGAGATAAAGAAAAAACACCCGCCTCAGGTTATCTAGACTCATTAATTGAGCCTCTGAAAGATTTAACTCTTCCGATGACCCCACTCAACCCAATCTCTCCCTCACCGACAAGGAATAGAAAAAGAAAATAAATAAAGGCTATGCGGTTGCAAAAGGATAAAAGTTTTGGCCCAAAAGCCTACAAACTTCTCACAAAAGTTGGATATAATCCAAATGGGAAGTCACGGCTGGGAAAGTTACCACCACAGACAACCCAAGGTTCGAGGGCTGGTTTTGGATACATGCCACAAGCTCCAGTATGCATCACTATCAAAAGGGCAGCAAACCATCATATCACCGAAAGCGAGAGCTTGTCTTCTAATTCACCTCAAAAGGGCAAGAATACAAGAGTATCGGTCTTCTAGAGGTTAAGACCTTCTGTCTTCACAAGGTTAGGACCAACGATTAATAAAGAGAAAAACAACACAAATTCATCAACAAAATATGTGGAGATAGATGGAGAAATCAAAAGTCGTTTTCCATTTCGCATGACGCATCAAACAAAAATGATGATACATTGCGGTAAAGTTTTAAAGGCTAAATGTCAAACCATTGTCTTCACCAAATCTAAAGAAGATAATGAAGAAAGTGTTGCATCATCATGCTACATCACTGAAGGGGGTGAAGAGACAATGATTGAAGAAGATGCAAAAAATGCACCCGCCACACATGAAGAAGGGGTCAAAGCTGCAGTGGATAAGTTAGAAGAAATCAACTTGAGAATTGAAGATTACCCTAGACCTGTCTATGTCAGCAAAGAGCTGGGTGAGGATGATATGAACACCTACACCCGACTTCTCAACGAGTTCTAAGATGTCTTCGCTTGAAAATATAAAGAAATGCCCCGCTTACACCCAAAAGTTGTGGTCCACCATCTAGGCGTGAGGAAGGGAGCTCGCTCTGTGAAACAAGCGCAACGAAGGTTCCATCCTGAACTCATCCCTCAAATTGAAAGTGAAGTCAACAAGCTCATTGAAGTGAGATTCATCCGTGAAGTCAAATACCCCCAATGGATTTCCAACATCGTGCCTATAAAGAAGAAGAATGAACAAATCCGAGTTTTTGTAGATTTCACGGACCTAAATGAAGCATGCCCAAAAGATGAGTTTTCTTTACCCATAACTAAATTGATGGTTGATGCGACGACAGGATATGAAGCGTTTTCTTTTATGAATGGATCATCTGGATATAACAAAATTCGTATGGCACCTGAAGACGAAGAGTTAACCGCCTTTCGTACACCGAAAGGTATCTACTGTTACAAAGTTATGCCTTTCGGATTGAAAAATGCAGGGGCAACCTACCAAAGAGCAATGAAAGAGATAATTGATGATATACTACACAAAAATGTACAGTGCTATGTCGATGAATTGGTTGTCAAAACCAAGAGAAAAGGGGATCACCTGCAAGACTTAAGAAAGGGTTTTGAAAGGTTGAGGCGCTACCAACTAAAAATGAATCCTCTCAAGTGCGCTTTTGGAGTCACTTCTGGAAAATTTCTTGAATTCATTGTCCATAGCCGTGGAATTGAGATTGAACAGGCAAAGATAGACGCCATCACGAAAATGCCTGAACCTCGCAACATCCACGAACTAAAAATCTTACAAGGGAAATTGGAATACATAAGAAGATTCATCTCTAACCTCTCCGGACGATGTCAACCTTTCAGCCGAATCATGAAGAAATGAGTGCCTTTCCATTGGGATGAAGCATGCAAGAAGGCATTCCAAAGTATCAAAGACTACTTGACGAAGCCACCAGTGCTGACATCACCAATTCCCGGACATCCGTTGACACTTTACATCGCTGCACAAGAATGTTCAGTTGGAGCCTTATTAGCACAGAAAGCCAATAAAGGGAAAGAAAATGCTCTCTACTACTTCAGTAGCATGATGACACCAAATGAACTAAATTATTCACCGGTGGAAAAGATATACTTAGCACTCATCTTTTCCATAAAAACGTTAAAGCATTACTTCCAAGCGCACACTATCCGGTTGGTGTCCAAAGCAAATCCCTTAAAATATGTCATGTCAAAAACTGTCATTTCTGATAGACTTGCAAAGTGGTACCTGCAGCTGCAACAATTTGAAATCATTTATGTACCATAGAAAGCTGTAAAAGGATAAATATTGGTTGGCTTCCATGCTATTCATCCAATACCCGTTGAGTGGGAGTTGTCTAACGACTTTCCTGATGAAGACGCGGTTTTTGTCGAAATCACCCCACCGTGGAAAATGTATGTTGATGGCTCATCACACAAAAATGAAGCTGGAGCAGGAGTAATATTCGTCACATCACAAGGAGAAGTCCTTCAATATTCCTTTGCCTTAAAAGAAAAATTTTCAAATAATGTGGCTGAGTATCAAGCGCTCATCCTCAGGCTAAAAATGGCGGTCGATATCAAGCAATACCAGCTTCAAATATACGGGGACTCCAAGCTGGTTGTAAGTCAAATCACTGGAGAGTTTGAAGTGACAAAACCATAAACTGATGCCTTACTTAAAGTATGCTAAGGCACTCATTGAGTTGCTCGGGGATGCCTCTATTGAATATGTCCCGAGGAAAGAGAACGGGCAAGGTGACGCTCTGGCTAAATTGGAATCGACTCTATCCATCCTGGATCAATAGGTTTATATTCCGATACGCAAAGTTTGGGTGGATTCCTGCAAGTATGAAGAAGAAGAATATGTTGATAAAGAAATAAATCACCTCATCGAGGTGTTTGAAATTGAAGAAGAAGAAGATTGGCATCAACCAATCTTAGATTTCTTAAAATATTAGAAGCTCCCCAGCGACCCACGCAGGCGAGCAAATATCCGAAGAAGAGCTGCATGCTATGCCTACTTCAATGGCATACTCTATCATCGGTCATTCGACAACATGTCCCTTCAATTCCTTGGCAATCATCAAGCCAAACAAGCTATGGAGGAGACTCATGCCGGAATTTGTGGAGCTCATCAAGCTGGCCCAAAGTTCACTTCCAAATAAAAAGGATGGGGTATTATTGGCCAACCATGGTTAAAGGCTGTATAGAGTTTGCACAGAGATGTCAACCATGTCAATTTCATGGTAACTTTATCAATCAACCACCAGAACCATTGCACCCAACCATTTCTTTGTGGCCATTCGATACTTGGGGCATGGACGTCGTAGGACCACTCACAAATTTGTCCACTAGACATCTCTATATCTTGGCCGCAATAGACTACTTCTCCAAATGGGCAGAAGCAATTCCTTAGAAAGAAGTAAAAAAGGAGACGGTAGCTGACTTCATACGAGTAAACACTATTTACCGTTATGGGGTTCCTCGATGTATCATAACCGATAATGGAAGATCTTTCGCCAATACTCACATCGACAAACTTTGCGAAAAGTTTGGCTTCCAACAAAAGAAGTCCTCAATGTATTATGCACCGGCAAATGGACTCGCAGAAGCATTTAATAAAAAACTTTGTATCTTGCTGAAAAAGGTCGTCTCCAAATCAAAAAGAGATTGGCATGATCTCATTGGTGAAGCTTTATGGGCCTATCGCACTACATTCCAAACTCCAACCAAGCGACACCAAACTCACCTGTATACGGGGTCAAAGCCATCCTCCCATTGGAAAGACAAATTCCTTCACTAAGGATTGCGCTTCATGAGGAATTGACGACTGAAGAAAATGCCCGACTGAGACTCAAGGATCTAGAGGCTCTCGACGAGAAAAGACTACAAGCTCAACAAAGACTGCAGTGTTATCAAGCACGTTTGTCTCAAGCTTACAATAAAAAAGTCAAATCGCGATCCTTTCAAATCACGGACTTGGTTCTTTCTGTGAGAAGGCCTATTGTGATCAACTTTTGTTCGGGAAATAAGTCTTTATCCAAGTGGGATGGACCCTATGTTGTCACTAAAGTCTACACAAATGGTGCATACAAGCTGACATCTCAAGACGAACTCCGGATAGGGTAAATCAACGGGAGCTTTCTCAAAAGATATTATGCTTGAGACCTTCAGATCAAATCAAGACTCCTTAGCATGAGAATAAACTGCAAAATAATAATAAAAGAAAATTCAAGTTTCTTTGAACTACGTTATGACTTGATCCCTTTACCGGGTATGTAGGCAGTTAGAAATATACCTTCAAGTTCAGTCAAATGAAAAAAAAAAAAAAAAAAGATAAATCATTTGGGTAAAAATAATGCCCGAAAAAAAAATTGACTTGTAAAAAAAAAGAGTTAAAAAAAAAAAAGAGAATTTAAATTTATTGATCGGCAATCAAAATGGAAAGTACAAATTGAGCTTAAACATTAAGATTTATACAACTTTTCTTTGCTAATATCCAACAACACTTCTAAGCTTTCTAAGTATTCTTCGTCTTGAGCCGGGACATTCTCTACAACGGCGAGTTCATCCTTGACTTTAGCAATTTGAATGATGATATTCTCATTAACTCATTGACGTGGCTTAATAAGAGAAATACTATTTTTTTTTTGATCTTGTAAAGGTCGAAGTTTCATGTCAATATTCTCCACACACTTCTATAACTCATTGATAGCTTCGCACTCCTCAATATGCCACGTCTCAAGCTGCGACAAGCGACCTTTGATCGAGGAAATCTGTTGGTCACGAGCCGCCAAAGATATAGCGTCGATCGAGTCATAACATGCCTCGTCAAAAGATGCAGTGTCATCAAAAAGGGCCTTGAATCGGTCTTCAATATGAGAAATATTAGAGTACTTAAAGCTTTTTATTGATTGAAGAACTATGTCAACCTCATCCTTAATCGAGGAAAGTGAACGAGCTAGT